GACCAAACTGTGCAGCTCTGCAACTGCATCCTGGCCGATCCTCACCCTTCTGCCCCCAACCCTCACCTCCTTGTACCCCCAATATGTTTTTCCCAATAAAAAAAATAAAAAGAAGGACATCATGCTTGGGAGGGTAGAGGGACAGTGCAGGAGAGGAAGACCCTCAATGAGATGGACTGATTCAGTGACTAGGGTAATGGGGTAGATGTGTCAGAGACAATAAGCTTGGCACAGGATTGAGCAGTGTTCAGAGCTATTGTACATGGTTGTTATGAATCGCAAGCAACTCAATGGCACATAGCGACAACAACATTGTATATATTTGAAATGTGTGGAAAATACTTTCTATCACCAACAAAAATGACCTAATTTACCAAACCACCACTACTACTTACCAACAACTACTTAAAACAAGCAATATTTATGTAATAAAACCATTGTTAAAAGTATATAACAAAAAGAAAACTTACCACAATGCTTTGAATGTTGCAAAGTTGCATCAGTTTTCATGGTCTCACACAATTCAAAGTACTGAATACACTGTTGAACTGCAGTATTTATCTGACAAAATAATAATAGTTTGTTAATTACAGAAAGTTAAAGCCTAAAATTACTAAAAGAAATTAGCCAATATCATAAAAATGCTTTGCAAAAATATTTATGAGAAGTAAAACTATTTTGAAAGTACCTTTCAGGTCACTGAAGCTCAATTTCCCCAGTCACATTTTAAGTGGGGCACTATTCTGGAGAACACTAGGAAAATATTTGTGGACTAAAGACAATGTTCTACATGCTACTTTGGTGAGGAGAAATGAGGGTTCTTAAAAAGTGTGCAAGAGCTCTAGTGGCTTCAGCTGTAGAAAACTGCAGTGCTACTTGAAAAGCTTGAAAGAAGTCACCGAAGGTGCAACCATTGATCTCTCCCTGACCAGAGCAAAGAAGAAGGAAGAAAAGCAAAGGTCTACTGACACAATTAACTGACTAGATAAAAAATGAAGAAGCAAAATTAATGACCTAATTGAACAACGTCATAAAATAGAAAAAGAAAAACAATCTAGCCCAACAGCCTCTAGAAGAAAGGAAATTACTGAAGCCAATGAGGTAAAAAACAGAAAAACAACTAAAACCATCAATAAGATCAGGAGCTAGTTTTTCAAAAGGGCCAATAAAGTTGACAAAGAAAAAAAAAGAAAAGACACAAATAATGTGATTAAGGAATGACAGAGGTGATATCACAACAGAATTAGAGGAAATTAAATCTATAATATAAGAATATTACAAAAAGCTATACTCTGCTAAATTTGAAAACATAAAAGGTAAATGGACAAATTCCTTCGTTCTCATGCCCTACCCAGACTGACAGGTATAGAACACTTGAACAGACCTATCACAAAATAACAAATTCAGCAGGTCATACAAAGACTCCCGTACAAAAAAAGTCCTGGACCAGATGACTTCACAGTTGAATTCTACCAAACATTCAGAGAAGATTTATCACCAATTCCACTTATATTATTTCTTACCAAGATATATCACCAATTCTATTGAAATTATTTCTAAAATATAAGAAAAAGATGGAATACTCCCAGAGATATCCTATAAAGCAAGCATAACCTTAATAGCAAAACCAGGCAAAAATATTACCAAAAAGAAAACTATAGACCAAAAATATCTCTCATGAACATAGATATCAAAATCCTAACCAACAGAATCAAAAAGCATATTAAAAAAAAAAAACAACCTCTTGCTCTCCGAGACTATGGCGCTTAACAAGAATCACTCGTAAGGCGGCGGAGTGATCGTCAACAACACTGAGAGCATCCTGATGTCCTATGACCATGTGGAACTTACCTTCAATGACATGAAAAATGTGCCAGAAGCCTTCAAAGGGACCAAGAAAGGCCCCGTCTACCTGACCCCATACCGGGTCATCTTTCTGTCCAAGGGGAAGGATGCCATGCAGTCCTTCATGATGCCCTTCTATCTGATGAAGGACTGTGAGATCAAGCAGCCGGTGTTCGGTGCCAGCTACATAAAGGGGACCGTGAAGGCCGAAGCTGGAGGTAGCTGGGAAGGCTCTGCTTCCTACAGACTGACCTTTTCAGCAGGAGGCGCCATTGAGTTAGGACAGCGAATGCTACAGGTGGCCTTTCAAGCCTCCCGAGGTGAAGTCCCCAATGGAGCCTATGGGTACTCTTACGTGCCCAGCGGGGGCGATGTCTTTCCCCCGCCTGTCGCCAATGGAATGTACCCCTGCCCTCCTGGCTACCCCTATCCACCGCCCCCACCTGACTTCTATCCAGGCGCTCCTATGATGGACGGGGCCATGGGGTACGTGCAGCCCCCACCACCGCCCTACCCCGGACCCATTGAGGCCCCAGTCAGCGGCCCTGACGTCCCCTCCACCCCTGCAGCCGAAGCCAAGGCCGCAGAAGCAGCTGCCAGCGCCTACTACAACCCGGGCAACCCACACAACGTCTACATGCCCACGAACCAGCCTCCACCACCTCCATACTACCCCCCTGAAGACAAGAAGACTCAGTAGACCTTCTCACAACACCCAGCCTCCCACAGCTCCCCTTCCCTGGGGCCAGGTCTGGGGATGGGGCGGCATGGGAAGGGCCCTGTTCTTCCTCTCAGTTGGATGATAAACAGAAGTGCATAGTGTTGTCTGTGAGGAGTCGTCTCCAGTTTCCCACGTTAGCCCAGAGCCCACGGACACTGTCAGCTGAGCTTCTTTCTCCATCTCTTGGGCTTGCCTCAGGAACTTGGGGTGTCCCCACTACTTCCTGTTTCTCTCAAGTAGCTTCTTCCCAGGGAGCAACTCTGGTCACCTTCTCCACTTCAGTCCACTTTTCTCTTGGTAGCCACTTCCTGCCCGCTGCCTCTCACCTCCTGAGCTTGATGGGCCAGCACTGCCCTGTGTCTTCCAGGCCTGCAGGGGACTCTAGCTTCTTCCCCACGGGGCCGTTAAGCCAGACCCACATTCCTTCCACTGCCCTGTCACTTCCCAGAGAAGCTGAAGTCCCACCCCGTGTCTGCCTGTTGACCCACATTCCGTTCCCAGCCTAGGCCAGGCCCTGGTCACTTTGGTACTTTCTTTCCCATCCTTGGTCACCCTGGTCACTCCAACTTATAGAGTGTTTTACAGGGAGCTCTGGGACTTGGGTGGCATCAGCCCCAGGCCTTGGCGCTGGTAGGAGGGCCTGCAGCTCCCTGGGTCAAGAGACTGGAATCTTTCTCTTGCCTTTTCTCATCTCTCTTCCTCTGGAAGGGGCATCAGGGACTGGAAGTGGGGTGCATGTCCACCCTCCATGTCCCGGGGGGCCCCACCTGCCCCCTCCCTGTTTACTTCCTGCCTGGTTGATGGCACCCAAATGCCTAATGCACTAAAATTTGCTCTCATGCGCTCCTGGTCTGGCCCTGATGGGAGAAGATGGTTATTTAAAGAGAACTCCTATTTATTTGACAAAAATCCAGTTCATATATTAACGTGAAATAAACCCTGTTTGCACCTTGATTTATTTGCCGAAAATGTGAAGCAGTAAAAATTAAATGACTATTAAAAAAAAAAAAAACCTCTTTATGACCAAGTGGGATTCATAAGAGGTATACAAGGATAATTCAACATAAGAAAAACAATCAATGTAATTCACCACATTAACAAAACAAGTAACAAGAACCATGTGATACTATCAATTGATATAGAAAAGGCATTTGACGAAATCTAACAAACTACATAAACCTCAATTTTCATGACTCTGAGAAGAGGAAAAGTAGATGGTACCCAACTACCACTGCTAATTCTTCACAATGGGATTATGGTAAGATACGAGGCAGAATGGGGATGATGTGGAACAAAACATAAAAATGGTCAGGCTTACGGATCCAATAAAGATGGTCAAACTTTCAAGACAATGACCCTCAGTCATTCTTCTAACCTGGAATAAAACATCATTGGCTCAACTGTCAGTTGAACAACAGATAGACCTATAAGGCAACCTATGACACCAGGGAAATCCAAACTCTTTAAAATAAGCAACTATAAAAGATCAAAACAGCATCATTTGGCCAAACATTAAGCCTTGAGGGTGAGAGCATGTAAGACAGAGGATTAACAGAAATGAGAAGTATAAAGAGAAAGTGGAGCAAGTACAATTACATTGTGGGTGTTGGATATAATGTTGTAAAATGTGTATGAATGGCTAAATTAAAAACCAATCTGCTTTGTTAAGTGTCACTCAAATTATGACACAAATAAAGCAAATCAATCTAAGAAAACATGTGTGAACCAACAAAGATAATCTTCTTATAAGCTTGGTGTCAGAACAAAATATACGTATTTTATATTTTAGAAGATGTATAACTCTCTAAGTTCCATTATTCTGTAATCTTCTTTCCCACATATTATTGTTATAGGCTGTGGAATCAGAATCAACTAAAAGCTGAGCCTGTAGTTGATTTTCATGGGTTGTAAATCACACAAGAGGGGATTTTCCAGCTTTCTTTTCCAGAGTATCTGGGGGATTCATACTGCCTGACTTTAGAGTTGCCAGTATAACCCCTTATCCACTGGCCACCAGAGCTCCCTTCTTTCCCAGCTGCTGTGAAGTCAACTACAACTCCATGAATAGCACTGAGAGACAAGAAACAGCACCTCTGAACCTTGCTCTATGATGCACCATTCTCACACTTTCTGGCATGCTCAAGTCCACTGTTATATCAATGTGTGAATTCATCTTTCTTAGAACTTACCCTCCTTCTCTGATCCTCCACCTATCCCAGCATGATATATTTTGATAAGGACAAGCCTCTCTAGACAACTGCCCAAAGTATGTAAGATGAAGTTTTATAGCCCTAATCTCTGTGGAGAAAACTGCCTGAACTCCTTCCAAGACAGATTTCCTTGTTCTTTTGGCAACTCCTTCAGTATTCAGTACTCTACTCTTCTCCAACACCACAACTCAAAGACATTGATTCTACTTCTGTCATTTAAATTTATTATCCAACTATCACATGTATATGAAGTAAGTAAATGAAAAAAAAACATGGCTTAGATTGGGCACACTTCAGTCTTTAAACTGACACTGTTGCTCTTTAGAACTTTGGAAAGATCCTTGACATCATCTAGGCAGAAAAATATGATAAGGTTGTATTTCTATATCATCAGAGAATTCCAATATAGAAGAGAAATGAAATCTCTAGTAAAGGGTGGTGGACCTCAAGAAGCACCAGCAGCTAGGACTGAAGTAGGGGAAAGGACAAGGCGTTACAAGGGATAGAGTAAAAGTGTTCTACATAGAAAGACTGCAGCCTTCAGTAAGGATTGAAGCTCAACATCAAGAAAACAAAGATTCTCACCACTGGGCCAATTGGCAGCATTAGTATGGATGGTGAAGAGATTGCTATAGTTAACAGTTTTAGTTTACTTGGCTCCACAGTCAACACTCTTGGTAACAGCAGCCAGGAAATCAGGAGACGAATTACACTGGGAAAGTCAGCTGTGAGGGACCTCTCGAGAGCACTGAAGAGCAATGACATCACGCTAGAGACTAAAGTGC